GCTTGGCTTTTGAGGTACTCTTCTGAGAACACGGGTCGTAATCCACCACATATGACCAGGTTGTTGGTCACATCTGTCATATTAATTAGTTTCGGGGGAAACTAGCGGTAGCTCAGATAAAGTCCAAGTCGCTGGAAAGTTTACATATTTATTTCGCATCCATATATTTCAATCATTAAAACATAACTAAATAACAACATAAAAACATATATAAAATACAATTTCAAAAGACTGATTGACATGCGGAAAAAGGAACCAATCAAAATATCTTGTTATCAAATATTATAAATCGCGTTTTGCCGAAAGCGGGGATTACGGATTAAAAACATGCTTCGTATAAGTTTGTCAAGAATGGCTTTCGGCAGTTATCACTTAGTGTCAAATTATCTATGTTCTTTGTTACAGAACCTTTTATCTTAAAGACGGATATAAATCTTTGATAATTAATCTGAATGAAAGGATTATAGTTAAGTGTAAAATACAAGTAACTTTTGAATAGCGTAAAATACAATACTAATAAATTATTAAAACACAATGAGGACTCGGAATAATAATAAAAAGCTAACATTTATAAAAATATACAAAATCCTAAATGTGAACTTTGAACGAACAATTGTCGGGTCATAGTATTGTCTGAATTAAATAAACCATTATATTTGTATGTATATTTGCATTTTTACAGCAATATACCATCAAAAAATTCTTTCTCTCTACATCCAAAGCTTTACGAGTCATGGTATCATGATATTCGTTACTAATATCGCTCGAGTCTCAGAGATGACAAAGTTCGTCTACTGATATTGGCTATATAAAGCAATCCATGGAGTTGCAAAAATGAGGTCTACATTGGTTAATTATCTATATACCTATATAATTATTACCTTGACTCGTTTAGAATTTTATTCATGTGTTGTATGTTTGTTATGTACATGTACATAGCTGTAATTCATGTAATGTTTGCATTTTAACCCGTCTTTAAAAATGGATATGTTAAACCTAAAAATCAAATATTATTTATTTACTGGAATATTTTTATTTGTGTTGATTTTTGCCTAGAAACATTAAAAGACTTGCTTACCGAAATTAGATTAGAATAGAGAACTATGTAAAAATGTGAAAACAATTTAAAAGTTGTCGGTTTACTAACAAAGTTATCCGATATAAAAAAAAAGACATATATATGTTACAGTACAAATTGAAATTCAGTAGGATCTAGAATCACCCTAGAATAAATTGGAACTCCAATATCTACAAGAAGAAATTGGAATTCTGGTTTACACTTTCTTTGATATTTTGTGGGTTGTTGTATCATCAATACAATTCATATCGCATCTTCTTAACATTACTATATGTAATTTCATAAGGACGTTTGACTTTGTGACTTTCTGACTAAGTGAAACAATACTTTTAAGTACAATATAATTGAATCCTTAAATATCTTCGCCGTTATATACATGTATTTTAAATAACGTCATTAAATTATTATTTTTCCACTTTCCTAATTTATTTTATGTCATATGTATGATATATGAATTACAGAACTGAACAATGGCGAACATGAACTAAACTAAAATATAGGCATTCCGATTGGCACCAATTGCGCTTCTTTAATAACGGACTTGTTCGTGTATTGTTATGAATCACCGTTTATGGTCAAACCTGGGACTATTATACTAGTATAAAGTCCCAGGTCAAACTCAGTGACTTAAGATCCGTTTGAATAAATTTAATTGATTAATTTCAAATACGTACCGTTACATTGATGATATAATACGAACAGCAATAATTGTCCTTTTCTAGATTTGGATGTTTGAGTTTCACTAGGGAAACATTACACAAGAATTTATGACAAAAGAGACGATTTTTCGTTTCCTATTGTTAATTTTCCCTTTTTGGGACGGAGATGTTGCTTTGGCCTCGGTATGTGTATTTCACAACTTGTTTGCTATACCCGTGTTTGTAGTGACGTTTTTTTTTTATTTCAATGAACGCTTTTTATGTATAACTAGAAAATAAAAGACAGGGATTTCGTTACCAAATTCCTTAATAGATACAAATATTTGATTTGTATTTAGAAATATAGCTGTATACCTGTAGAATTTTTATCTAGAATGGTATGTTAGTTGGATCTTTTTATGTGCTTCTTACCGTTCTGTTGAAGTAACCCATATGCAACTGATTTTTATAATTTTTTCTTATGCTGTTCTGTTCCACCACTTTCCCAGGTTAAGGGAGGGTTGAACTCTCACAAACAGTTTGACCCAGCCACATTCTTTATGTGCCTGTCCCACATTTAATTTTCTCGTTTGAATTGTTTCATATTTTACAGGGGGACTTTTAAAGCTGACTATTTGGTTTTTCTCATCGACGAAGAACGTACGGTGACCTAGCTGTAATTGCAAGCATCCATTTCATCTCTGGTGGACAGTACTGTTGTATCATTGGCAATAACACCACAACTCCTTATCTTTATATAAACCATGCCACTGAAATTTCACAACTATTAAATCATTTGCACGAGTGGCGATTATTTCAGATTGTATAAAACAATAGTATATTTTAAAATAAAATGCTTCGCTGAGCGCAGCCTGATAGGACCGCAGAGGACGAACCCTGAACAGTTGGGGTAAATTTGGGCACACTATTCAAGCTTGATACTGTCTGAATTTGGATTGTGATCAAATTTTTGACATAATATAGGTTTCTGACACAAAATAAATGTGGTCAAAGATCTTATAAATCCATTGCGCAATACTGTGCAATTGAAGATTTCTTCTTGAAACTATTCAAAAATTCGAAATTTTAAAAATTTTGAAAAAAAAAATATGAATCCCTTAAAAAAAATTGGGAAAAAAATCCCTCCCCCCCCCAAACTTTTTGAAACCTCCCTTGGAGCAATAACCCCAAAACTCAATCCCAGCCTTTCCTTTGTAGTATGGAACCTTGTAGTACAATTTCAGAGAGATCCATACACTAACACACAAGTTATTGTCTGGAAACTAGAATAAACTGCTTCGCTGAGCGCAGCTGGATACGCCCGCAGAGGTCCAACCCTGAAAAGTTGGGGCAAAAATGGACACAATATTCAAGCTTGATACAGGTCTGAATTTGGATTGTAATTAAATATTTGACATATTATAGGTTTCTGAATAATTGTAGTCAAAGAACTTGAAATTGGTTAAATGAATTGAATTTATATTCAATTAAAGATTTATTGCTGTTGTGCAATACACTGTGCTGTTGCGCAATACTTAGTAAATCTGTTCTCAGACTATAAACAAATAAAGTTCAATTAATTCTCAATGTCATATTAGAAATTTATGAAAATCAAAAGGGAGCTTACATCAATAGATATAAACAATTAACCAAAGTTTCATGAAAATTGCTGACCGCATTTTTGAGTTATTGTCCGAAAACTGGAAAATCCCCCCTTTTTTAATGAATAAAACCCCATAACTCAGAAATGTAAAATGTAAAATTTATAAAATTCTAAATGGAGCTTACATCCATAGATATAAACAATTCACCAAAGTTTCATAAGAACTGCTGAAAGCATTTTTGCCTTTTTTATGAATAAAACCCTGTAACTCGGAAACATTAAATCTAAAATTTTCAAAATCGAAAGGGAGCTCGTGTCAATAGATATAAACAATCCACTCCAATTTCTTGCAAGTTGGTGAAAGCATTCTTGAGGTATTGTCCGAAAACTGGAAAATCCCCCTTTTTTTAATGAATAAAACCCCATAACTCGGAAACGTTAAATCTAAAATTTATAAAAAACGAAAGGGAGCTCACGTCAATAGATATAAACAATTCACCAAAGATTTATGCAAATTGGTTAAAGCGTTTTTGAGTTAATGTCCGACATGTTGACGCCGGACGGACGGACGGACAGACGGACAACGGTATACCATAATACGTCCCGTAAACGGACGTATAAAAATGCTTGTTTTTGGCCCCTAATTCCTACATGTTTGGGGCAATTAACCCTAAACTCAATCCCAGCCTTCCCTTTGTTATATGGAACCTTGTGGTACAATGTCAGAGAGATCCATACATTTACACACAAGTTATTGTCTGGAAACTAGAAAAATGCTTGTTTTTTTTGCCCCTTTTTGGCCCTTAATTCCTAAACTGTTGGCCCCCATAACCCCTAAAATGAATCCCAACCTTCTACTTGTGGCATTAAACTTGGTGGTACAATTTCAGAGCAATCGAAATACTTGTACACAAGTTATTATCCTGAAAAAATGCTTGTTTTGGGGCCCTTTTTTGGGCCCCTAATTCCTAAACGGTTGGGACCATCATCCTCAAAATCAATCCCAACCTTCTTTTTGTGGTATTGAACCTTCTTAAAAAATTTCATAGAGATCCATTCACTTAAACTAAAGTTATTGTCCGGAAACCAATCACGGTGTCTTCAAGTCGGACGACGACGCAGACGCAGATGACGACGACATCATACCATTATACGATCCCAAAAAAAATAATGTGTTGTAACTTGCAGAAAAGGAACCCTTTTTATGGGAGAAAACAATAACGCAACTTTTAAAATAACGTACACCATGTTCTTTTTCGGTGTTTATAAACATAACAGTTATACACAAATATTACTAGTAATCAGGCGAAATTGTGTTTCCCTGACCAAAATATCATTCAGTACACATCTAATTGATAAAGTGTAATGATGACTTGAATTTCATAAACAGTCGGCGAAAAAAACATGACCTTGTGCAATGCCAAAATATTAGTATCGAGTCGTAACCCTTGGGTAGCGAAAATGAGGGTAGGTAGGTAGGATTTTGTATTTTTATTTTGCTCATTTTTCTTTTTAGTATATAGGGGTCACCTGCAATTTAGTCATAACTTAGTTTACTGTCAAAATGGCCGATTAAAAGTTAAATTATTGATATGTGTATAAATTGGGAAGGTAGGAAACCATAAACACAAGCATTGTTTAGTTTGGCTTCAGCTACAAATGTACACATCAAAGTCGATCGAACAATACAATACTAAATTTAATAACGTTTTTGAAAAACAATATTGACTATACATTTACACTCTAAAGGCGTTCGATGTATGTAAAATAACAAATACATGTTTTTCATATTTCGTTTGACCTATGACAACCATTTATTACAGCAAGCAAGAATATTTTCTAAATATAAGATTTTACAACCTGTAACAACGAAAAACAATATTAACAACGATGAAAACAACCTACTTTAATTAAAACATCAAAAAAATAAACGATGACCACAGTGATGATCGAAGTGAAACTGTTGAATTGTAGATATTTACAGAAGTACAATGTATAACAGAAAGTGCATTATGATACAACTATGAGAGTAAAATGAAAACTGTGATAGTGCTTTTTAACGAAAGAGACCGCGTAACAATTTAAAGTATTGCAGAAGAAACTATAAATATGCATGCATAAATATAAATAAAAAGTACAGCCTTCAACATGGCTCCGTGTTGAAGGCCGTACTTTGACCTATAATGGTTTACTTTTACAAATTGTGACTAGGATGGAGAGTTGTCTCATTGGCACTCATACCACATCTTCCTATATCTATATAACAAAGAAGGGTCACATTACTATATTGATTTTGTGCAATTTGAAATATCTGGATATAAAATGTGAATGTCGTATGAATTACCAAAATATATCAATTTTTAGATAACATTAAATATAATTTACATGTTTATATAATAGTTTACCTAAATAACGTCAACTGTAATAACTAGATACCCGCAAAGTTCAGTAAAAGTTCACTTTTTGTAAAAGTTACGTGCCTTAGATTTCTGTAGCATTCGATTAACCTGATAGTGGGAGGTCTCGGATTCTACAGCCTCGTACATGTCGGAACATCTTGCTTCGTCCATAACGGGCTCTGTTTCAACCATTGAACTTTTGAAGACTGATCTAGCAGCTTTCATGTCCATCTGTGAAGACATAGCCTTTGCTTTTGATGAAATTCCAGCAAGTTCGGCATTGTTTCTCACTAACTGTTTGGATCTGGCACCTTTAGAAGCAAGTTTTGCATGCAAGTCTCTTGTTAAAGCCTCGTCGTCTATTTCTCGTCCGGATGCTATACGACTTTGAACCTCCACGTCAACATCGGCCATCCATTGTTGAAGCGACATTTCTTCTTGAGCTCCTCCAATTATAATTTTTGTCAAAAGTTTCGCACCACCAAGAGGCGTGTACTGGCCTCCTGTCATGTAAGCTAATGCCATGAAAAAGTCCCTATAAGACAGAATTGCTGGTTCACATCCAACAGTGTACAATGTAATTCCCTTTTCAGCCAATGTCCTTGTGATATCAATAGGGTCTAACCCTGCTGGACACCCCTCTGGAAAAGAATCACCGCCTGGGGACAGTCCATGAGGAGGGGCATCAGATACTAACACACAAATTTTAGTGGCTTCTTCTCTCCAACTGAGTTTCGACACATCATGGAGTGCATCCGCGACCGCCTCTGGACAGTCTCCTCCTCCCTGTGCACTACATTCATCCAACCAAGTTTTCATTTGTGAAACTGAAGACGTGAAATCGTGTGTTCGTGTAACAAATGAAGCATCTTGTGGAGGATGATCTCTGTATTCCACTAAAGCTAAGTGTACGTTACTTTTCTCTGAAGCTACGATCGTCTCAACTATTTCACGGATATTTTGCTGGGCTGTTTTGATATAAGACCCCATACTTCCTGTACAGTCCATAGCGAAAGCTAAATCTAATATAGCACTGTCATGTTTAGCTAATTCTGGTCTGTCAACACTTGGAGCTTTCATTTTCTCTGCCATCTTGTAATGATTTCTGTGTTCAAATGAAATTTGGTAATAATTCTTTTCCTGTTGTGAAATATACATAAACTGATGAATATGTATTATCACTTGGGAAAATTAGTTCGGGTGTTGTTATGATTTGAAGTCTTTCCAATGTTGAAGGTAGATAAATTTGTAACACATTCATCATCCATGTTCGAAAGGAGAATTTAGTTAATGTAATTGTAATGTTTTTGAAACATTATTTCTACTTAAGAAGAACACGTTTAATAGAGAAACAAGACAGCTTTATCGGATATAATTTCAGATCGCATTCGAACATTTTATTGTTTATAAATAGAAAATTACCAACAAATGTAACCTGGAAAGTAAGTTCTATATATAGATATTAGACATTTTCAGAAAGTAAAGTTCACAATAACGTTTAAGTTGGCGATTATAATTACAGTTAACCTTACCTGTGGTTCATCTCAAAATACACAATGTCCCGAAAGATGTTACGGCTACATATTTAATTAACGAAAACAATGAAAGTTTGTCACTTTGAGATGGCCCTTATAGAATTATCTGTAATGTAAACATAAATGTTTAAAACAGTTTTTGAAAATGTTACCTAGATCACAAAAATAAACAAATAAATCACAGGGGCTTGGTAACTATAATGCAATGAATTCTCACCATCATAATATATTTTCTTATTTTCACTCTGAATGGACCTATTGTTACGGTAAAATCGATTGATAAGAAAAACTCATTAAGTATATATGTTTCTCAATAAGAGTATATATATATTTCTTTTTGGTCTTTTGGAAAATGTTGTTTGTGCTGTAGTTAGACCCCTCTATCAAGAAATTTGTTTTGCATGCACACGTATAAAAATTGCGGTTTTTATCCAACGCAATCATAGGTTTGAACGTTGTTTTCAATTTAGACTTGTATATATATATATATATATATATATATATATATATATATATATATATATATATATAAAGTGCCTAGAAAATCAACCTAACAATGTATATATATATATATATATTTATATATATGATTATATACTATGCCACATACGATTGATATTTTTTGTGAAAATACGTTAATAAGAAAACCGAAACAGATTGCAAATTATCATGATAAAGGGCTTAATTAATATAACATATATATAGCCAGAGTAAACCTTTCTGGTACCGATAAAATAACAATTCATGTATCTCAAAATAGATCTTAAATTCAGGTTTTTTATTCGTTAGCAATCTCTAAATGTATATGACTGTTCAAAACGAGAATATTTGTCATATAATGGTATTCCTTCATCATCAATATATATATTGTCGAAATGACGTCAAACCTCTGATGAGTCAAATCCTTTTCAACTGAAAAAAAATCCCGTGTTTTGGGGTTTCCCTATACGTACTCAATTTTTACGCCTCATAGTAACTAAAGTTTTTATTGCCCATTTTGACTAAATTGCAGGTGATCCCTATATGCCCCCAAAAAATGTGTAAAATAAAAATAAAAAATCCTACCTACCTACCCTATTTTCCTAAAGAAGGAAGCCCTCAAGAAACACATTTTTATCTTGCATGATAAACCACCGAGGTGTCCACCGTCTACCTTGGACAATATTCTAATATTCTTTTCATTGTCGTTTCATTTCAAATCGCTGACTGGTTTATGCTATAACAAAATTTTGTCTTTACAATAAAATACAGATTTGCCAAGGGTCGACAATTCAAATGTTAATGCAGCATTCATACATAAAGAAAAATAAAGTATAACAAATTGAATTCAAAATAATTCGACAAGGACAACATAACGTTTATAATGCTTAATTAATGATTGATTGGTTGATGCATGTTGTTCATCCGTCGTCAAATAATACAAGTAGTACATAATCAGGACGACAAAAAAATATGTGAATGAGATATACTAAATGTGAACGGATCTGCTATGTTATAAACCGACACTAGTCGCTATAACAACGTGCTAGCTCGCGAATAACAGTCCGATATACGTTAACATTATTCCGACCACTCTTTGGTTCCTCAAATGCTTCATGCTTAACAGAGAAGTAGAACATACCAATCTTACTAGGATAGAAAAACAAAGGATATTGGGGATCCATCCATGACACAAAACCAGTACATGCGCAGCAAAAAAACACAAAAAAACAAAGGAACAGTGCTGGAAATTGAACCCAAATCGTCCGCGGTTTTAAGATAGAAAGCTATCGGAAGTCCACCGAGGCGATTATTGATGGAACAAGGAGACATGAAAATATCAGGACCTCACCGACTCCAAGTGGAAATACTACAAAAGACCTTCTGTCCCTATATTGATAACATACACAGCATACATAGTGTGTTTTGTACTAATGATTACTAGTATCCAGATTCGTTTTCTGTTGAAATAATTTGTTAATCGATTTCCAAGCGTTATTTTTGTAATATATCAATACTCTAAGCCTCAAATCTATGTCCAGCTTCTTTCCTCAGATCATTATTGAAGAGAAATTTATTGTCAAAATGCACATCTAGTACAGAAAAATGTGTACCGTTAATTTCATTCCGTGGTATACCGATACATCTATTTCTTTTTCTTTACTTTCTTAGAAATCATTAGAAATATGGTAAATGAAGCCCCTCCCCTTTTATTTTTTTTAACGAAACAAATCACAAAAACGCATCTCAAGCATAGATATGAATAAAACGTTTTCCTGAAGGGAACTTTAATATGCTTTTGGTTTTATAGAAGTATAAATCAATCTATTTCAACAAGATGTTTGGAGGCATTGTCATTGTTCCCATTCTAATCGATCGAACATGTTGCTATACATCACGCACAACCAAAGAACTCCGTGCATAAAGAGGAGCTCTCTCGTAAAAGATTTCTAACGCGATCCACACTCGGGTGTGTGATAAGGAGGAGGGCAGCATAATGAAAATTAAACGTTATTCCTTCAGACTAACGGTCTGTATTTGTTTCATTATTGAAGATGTTCTTGCAATGGCCTTTTCAATATTTACTATTAGTTAGCAAAAGAGGAGTCCCGTTTAAATCATAGTTCCGTAATACAAAACAAGTTGAAGAAGTACCATTGCCGAGTTGCGATCTTTATAGATTTTTAGTAGAAGAAACAGATTTGTGTGTCAAGATGCTTTCTTCAGACTGTAAAGACTGTGACAATTTATGTCAAATGATGGGACCCAAAACAATTCAGTTTATTGACCTTTGACCAAATGACCTCAAGATCACAAAGGTGTGTTTGTCATCTCATGGGGTGTTGGTAATAAATGAACATCTGGTTCAAAAATGGTATCTGGAAAACACTATCTCAGTCTACCAATAGCCGCTGTGACCAAGACCTTGACCGTTAACTTTTTGACCTCCAAAAATTCAAAGGGTTTCCCTAACATCATGGGACAGTATAAAAAAAGGTTTGGTAAAAATTAAAGGAAAACGGAAACCAACATTGTGCAGAAGTTTTTTAAGGGGTTCCTTTGGTGGCCGGTTGCAAGACAAAATTTCTACCTTATCCAACATACCATCATTTACAAGGTGCAGTCGAAATTATCATCCTTAGTCGCACACATTTTGTAGAACGAACCAATTGGATTTATTGTTAATTTATTAACGTCTCAATTATGCATGTTATATTTGACACTGGACGTTCAAGTAAGCAAACCAAACAACAATCAATCAATTGCAATTAAATACACCATCTTTAATATTTCAGTTTGGTCTTTCTTTGGGTATTGCAGGTAAGCAAGTGTAATAGAAAATCAAGTTTAAAACCTCCATAATGATTAGCAAACTTTTAAAAAATGTGAGGTAAACTTGATCTAAGCTACGAGCTGACGCGATAATTACGGTCAAATTAAACTTATACATTTTCAAAAATAAGAAGATGTAATATGATTACCAATGAGTCAACTCTCCATCAAAGACCAAATGACGTAGAAGTCAGCAAAAACAATGAGCACATATAGTTAATGCATGTTTAACGCGTGAATTTAAGTAACTTTATTTCATCAAACATATACATTTTAAAATGGAAATCTAAGATAAAAATTCCCTAATATCAATTACCGGAGCATAACTGAAAATAAAGTAATTTCCGAAATACGCATCGGTTTCTTTAAATTTGGTACCGTTTCATTGTATTAATTTATTGACAAAAAATATTTGGACTAGCTAGCCTGGGGATGAGCAACCTCCCACTTCCAGTAAGTTAGTCAGTTCAGATTAGGGGCGGATTCCGGCGGGGACGTCGCGGGCGTGCGCCCCCCTAAAATTTGCAAAGCATGGGTTGTCCTCAGCTTTATAAAAGAATATTTCGATAAGTTTACCTCAAAAATTTTTTTTTTGCTCGGCCAAAATTTAAATTCGCCCCCCCCCCCTAACCTAAAATCCTGGATCCGCCCCTGCATATTAAGATACACAGCAACTTAAAGCTAAGGCTGCAATTACCTCAGACACATTAGATTCTTTTAACACTTCTGTTTTGGCCAATTTGGTCTTCATGCTTTCATAAGTTTGGCGCTGTGGCTGTCGAACGGTAATTTGGTCTTGAGCGTATTAGATTTTGATTATTTTAGATTTTAGAACACTTGTAACATTAGTATTTAATGTTTATTCCGTATGCATTGTAGAAAGTTTACATGATAACAAGCTATAAACAATGCAAACATAAAAACAATTACGAGTTGTTCGTGTTAAAAACAGACTTTTTTAACATAAAATCAAAAACAAACGCCAAAAACATTTAAATGACATATTGGCATGTGCATTGGGTTCACGAATTAAGAATTAAGGTATAATTGAGGACTTTTTTGTAAAAAATGTACGAAATCATGAATTTGACACCAAGACTGGTAATATTTTGTTTTAAAAAAGTAAATCTACCAAAGGTTGATGCGAATGAATACAATGGACCTATTTTTATCATTATATTTTATGTGTATATCATTTTTGTGTGGTTTATATTGAATCATACTTTCTCCTTCATATTTGATGATTCGATGAACAATATCATCTGCACAAGAGAGTCCAAAGATCTCAAGGATTTTTGCTGTTACAATTTTACTTGTTTATGTCTGATAAAGTAAGGTTTGTTAATATTCAAGTTAAAGATATACGATCAGTTCAGTCTAAATTGTCTTCGTCTGAATTACAGGGCCACAAAGATGACGTAAAGTCAACGTCTT